TGCCGAGTCCTGCAGCCCCATCATCTTCATCAATTCCTTGTGCTTTCTTTTTTCGCTTGTCATATTTAGTGCCAAAAAGTGCATAAAGGGAGAGAAACACATTACAAGAGTAATCAAGATAAATGAATACTCCACTGTTATTGTAGGCGTGATGTTTAATGATCTCATACGGACACCAGCAATGGATTTCATTTCTTCCCAGACAGAATGACTTGTTGTGCCCTGAAAAGGATTAAAGTTAGCAAAGTTAGCTAATGCAGGTTAACTTTTGTACAGCAAGATGAGTTTCATATGCCACTGAATATTGATAGGGACAGTTGGTATGACAGCGAACTCCACATACTTTTACTGCTGTAACCTCCTTTCTGGCCTGGAAAACTTCAGTCTTCCCCGGCAAGTGCAAACAAAATGGTACTGTCAAGATCAGTTTCCAAAACCAGAACCAAGAGGACTTTGCTTCACTGATGAAGCAAAAGCTCACAAATTAGGTAAGAGACATGCATATAGGTTTTGCAAGGACTCTATGGATTGTAACCGAGTTGACTAATCAATAGTGTCTTGTTTCGAAAGACTGTCCAGTGTCCCTGCAAATATCTGTGGGTTGTCTTACTATCCTCTCTTAGTAATGAAGTCTCATGGGGTGCACTGGAAGAGCCACAGTGACAAACCAGTGTAGAAGCCAGGAATCCACTACAGAGTTATTCTGATCTGGACTTTGCAAAATGTGGAGTCAATATAGAGCCTAAGGCAGGTAGGGTACATGCTGTGTGGATGCATGAGAGCTCAGGACTTCAGTTTTTCCTCAGGCACCTTTGCCCTTTCTCATCTGCCCCCCATCATTCTTGAAAGACACTACAAGAGATCAACAAAACCCTTGAATGCCATCGCTTCCCAACTCTCTTTAAAACTCAACGCTATTATGATGCTAACAGAATAGTTATCAATGGCTAGCTAGCATATACACTGAGAACTGTTTCAGTCTTTCCTTTTCTCCTAATTTCCTTTGCTAGTTTAATTCACTTAGTGGTTAGGACCATTGGGAATGGTCTCTCCATGATTCTCATGGTGAAAAATTCACTTTCTGGAAAACAGAAAATAATGTCACCTCAGGAGTTGCACTTACTTCTATGATGGCGGCATCAATGCTGGACTGCAAAGACACAAATCCGTTGTACCAGTATCTTGGGCTTTCACAGTAACTTCCAGAAAAATTGTAACAGGAATCTGCAGCCAAGATGAAAGATCAGTTGCACGAACTATATGCAATAATCTCCATTGCAGTGGATGTGCCTGGCAGCAAATCCCTTTCCCCGCTTTACTACTCCAATTTGAGATGTACTATGGGCAATCTCCCACATTCTTCAATGACACAGGATACTGTGATACTTCCTATGCTACACATCTGAGCAATATTTCAATTCTTTAGGACATATTAAATCTCTAAGTTGGAAGTTTTTCAATGAAATGTGCTTGATTGCTGTCATCAATTTAATGACAACAACAACAAACCGGAACAAAACCGGTATGGCTTAATGCCTATGGAAATGTAGATGCTTCCACAGAATATCACCTTAAATGCCCTGTCCTAAGCAACCACTGGTCAAGGTTAGGAGTTGAAACAATCTTTATTCTACATTAAAATTTTAATGGTTTTACCGTGGCTGCTCACAAGAGCATGGATGCAATTTTTTGGACATTAGTTTTATGTGCTTGATTTAGATTTGTCAAGAAACCAGAGAACAAAAATAGTGCATAACAGGTACATTAACATATGTGGCATTACATCCATTTTTAATGCATGAAACTATATAATGAGACAGAAAAAAAGAGACTGACATTGAATGCAACATACCAAGTGGCGTGAAGATTTCAAGTCAATAGAAGACCAAATGTTTTACAAGATAGCTTTTTTTGTTAACAGAGTAAAACAGGCTTGAACGTGTGGTTATTTCTAGGTGATAAAAATATTTGATCATATAGAGGATAAGGGCCAGATCTGGTCCAGCAGAGCCATGCTGATTCATATCAATTGCCTTTCTGAATAAGAATCTCAATCAGAATTACCTACATCCCCCAAGTTTTCATTTGGAATAGCCACATATCTGGAAGCAAACCTCAGGCGATAGGAAAAGTCATCTTCAAATACAACCCCTACAATGCTTTCATTCTCAGCCCATGCTGTTTCCAGGGCTTTTTCATCTTCTACCGCTTCTGTTGTTATACCTGTGGTTTATATAAAACAAATATGTTGATCAGTGACTTCAAAAATGCAAGCTCTGGAAATCCCTACATCTTTTGGTTCGGTCTGTGGTGCGACTCTCTTCAATGAAGAGTCTTCATGGTGTTATTCTCTGCTTAGTTCTGTGTGGGGATATCTGAAGTCACCTTAGATTTAATCAGCTTGGAAGAGTTTAATAAGAGATTCTTGCTAGGATCAATAGTGAATGCAATATTTGACTGTGAGGATGGCCTTCTCTACTGTAAACATCATCTTTTCACTAGCAAAGACAGGTAGTTAGTAGGAGTGTGCAAAGTGGGCAGTATTCAATTCAGATTTGGCCCAATTTGGGGGGACAGTGATTTGATTTGCTGATTTGGATCACTGTCCCAAATTGATTCAGCTGAATCTGAAGATTCGATTCGGATTCAAAGAATCAGTGATTCGGCCACAGATGTAGCTTTATATGTTTTTTCTATGTACCTCAAGGTACCAGGCCCAGCTTGTGAATGCTGAGACGGTGGGGCGGATGTAGCGTCTCGCAGGAGTGCAAGGTGGTCCCCCATGTACTCGGTGGCAGACCCGGAAGTGGACTGGAAATACTTCTGGGTCCAATGCTGAGCATGCGGGGGACTCCCCCCACAGGCCCCTGGCTCAACGACTGGCCACAGGGGGACCCTAGGTGCTCCTCCAGACCCAGAAGGCACCAGTTGCTGAGCCAGGAGGCTGGGGGGTGGTCCCATTCACACTCCATAATGGACCCAGAAGTGGACTGGAAGTACTTCTGGTCTACTTCTAGGTCAGCCACTGAGCATGCAGAGGACCCCCCTGCACTCCTGTGGGACACTCCATCTGCCCCAGCATTGCGGCATTCACAAGCCTGCAAACAAAAAGATATTATTATGTTCCTGCTTGCTTAATTAATGACTTCATCTTAAGTAAGACTTCATCTGTATGGCAAACACCATCTCTTAATTACATTACTTAGGCATTCCGTGGGAAAGCCCATTGCTATTCCACATACGGTTGTTGGCACGATTGACATCAGCAAGGAGTTACCCAGAGGAATGCATCAGATCAGGAACTTATCCCTTCCCTGGGAAAAGGGGGATGAATGGGAACGGTATGTAGAAAAAACACAAAAAGCTGCGTCTACGGCCAAATCGGCATCTCTCTCCAAATCTCTCCGAATCAATTCAGAGGCTTCCGATTCGATTCGGAGAGATTAATGGGTCTCCTGATTCGATTCGGATTTGGAGATTCGGCTGCCGAATCGGGCTGAATCTCCACTGAATCAAATCATCGATCGAAGCTTTGCACAGCCCTAGTAGTTAGCCATGTTGCAGAAGTCAATCAGAAGGCACTTTTCACTAGAAAGTCTCTGAACACAAACCCTGGATCCTAACAGTATCCATAAATGTCTGCAGGTGACAATGTGGGATCCAAATGCAGATACAGGTCTGAACTTCCCTCTTTAGTGGCCCTTGTCTCTCTGGATTCAAACTGTTGGGTGTTTGGTATGTGGACCGAGATCACGATTTTATGGCTCAGGCTAAGCCTTTGCTTTCCACTCAACAAATGATGAAGAAATACATGTTATCACATCACACTAAGGAAAGTTTCAGATTTCTTTCTTTCTTCTTAGGGTCCGAAATATGGGGCTTCACAGTACCTCTGTTATCTGGAGTGCCAGACAGCCAATAATCAATTCATTTTATTTCCATTTGGCTTTCAGTGTGCAAGCACATGTGATTTCCACTCTGCTTTTTTCCTGAAACTACATCTATCATTGAAGTAATAGTTTCTGCAATGTCTAAAATGAAGAAGTACTGGGAATCAGTCTAGTTCTTTCATGATCAGACAGCTAAATATACTTAGGAAACTTAATTATTTTATGAACTTTCCTGAAAGGAATGAACCAACATGTACTTCAATACTACTGGGCTATGCTTAGTCATATCCTTTTGTTATACTTGTCACACTACACTAAAAGAAAATGAGAGGTACTGGATAATGCCTAGTTGTGATAATGGATAAATTAGGATGACTTCTATGTACTAGCCAGGCAAGTTGTAAAACTTGACAGGCATGACATACCTTTCATGACAGAGTCAAATGCCACCTTATTCATTATTTGTCTCGTAGTGTTTGTCACTGGGGTATAGGCAACTGTAACCTCAGTAGCATTGAAGGCAGGATCATCTAAGCGTCCGAGGAAAGTGTGAGGTATTTCATCAATTGAAGGAAAAGAACAGTGCAATGCTACTAGGTACACAACAGGAAGGAAAAGTAATGAGAGGATCCATTCCTGTGTAATAGGGGAAAAAAATGCAAGGAGAACATGATATAATAACCTGAAAGAGAATATGACTCAGAACAATTTTCTATATTATCCTTTTTGTATGTACTGGTATTACAATTTTTCATAACTTTTAATATTACTACAGCCGAGGAGGGTAAAGTCAAGTCTAAAATCCCTACCTTTGGGAATACAAAGAATGAACTTTAAAGATGCAAATGCAGACGCCATTTATGATCAACATTTTATATCGTTGTTTACATTTGTTTCAAAATGAGAAAACACCAGGCAGAAATTGCTTTGTATTGTCTCAGGATTGCAGTAATATTAGCTGTAGAGAACAGGCAGTTTAATCTATAAACACATGTATTCATATTAAATAATGTGCGTGATAAATCTCTAAAGTGTTTCCTCCAATATGTAATATTCAGATGTGCAACAAGCGTACATGTGGAGTGTGGCCCAGGTGTGCACCCACTTGCAAAGGTCTGCTGCATGTTGATCTGATCAAACCTTGACCACTACTTTTTTAATGAAGAAAAAATTGAAATAGTTTTCAATTGATCTATGCTTCTGATGAACCATGCCATATTTCCATTAGAAAAAATACTGCTTTTTTAGGATTGTATTGACAAATTGAAAGATGAAAAAACCCAACAAAATAAAACAAAAAAACCAGGTTTGGGGCTGTCACAGCTTTAAAAATGAAAACCTGAATGCTCTTTATCCAATTTTCGGGGGGGACGAGGGGGGGAGGAGATCAATTTTCTGGCCAGCACTATGTAATACAGATTTCCTTCACCAACCACAGTTTTGAGTATCCACACTTAATATTCTATATACTATTTTGGCTATCACGGTATTCAGTTTTGAGTAACCACGGTTTTCCATGGCTGCACATCAGCCCACCACCTGCCATTTTTCCCCATAAGTCCTTTGTCTTGCCAACCATGGTTTTGCTAACCACGGGAACTTTCAGGAACCTAATCCCAGTGGTCAGCGAGGGAAACCTGTACAGTACTTCTGGGGTGAAATACTGTGTGTCAAGTGTTCAGCACCCACCTAAGGTAAGTAAGGTGGGAGAAAGAAGAAATCTATAGCAAGATCCATTTCTAGACCCTACTGCTGGTTATGAGAACTGAGTACAGAAGGAGCAACAAGTAATGAGTATGATTCCTGCAATGGCTCTGCTTGAGTTCCCTTTTCAGTCTGCCCATTACTTGTCTCTCTGGTCATGCCTCTGTGCAGAATAGGTAGGAAACGCAGCTAGGGAAGGGGGAGCTTTTGTTGCGTAGGGCATTTGAGGGCAACCTTTAAACTCAGTGCAAACCAGGTGTAAAAATGGCCTTACTGTAAATTCACAGCCTAGCTCACTCACACCCCCTTTTCAGGCAGGGATGCTGAGTCCTGAATACTAGAGAAGAATTAGCAATATAATGTCAGCCCACACTGTGCCTATCCTCCTGACCCCCACCCAGCTACTCTGATTTCAGTAGCCTTTCCTTTCATCACCTGCTTGTTGTTAAACAACGGTTGAATTTTTCTAGTTTGTCATGGAATTCAAAAGTTACTTGAACTTCAGTCATAACTTGCTATTATCACTAGCTAAAGTTTTAAAATCTGACACCTGGCAGTGCAAATATGACCAGCAATACTATCTAGCAAGTCAAAACATGTTGTTTTTGTCACGTGGCCAAAATCAGTCAAATCTGTAGAGGTTTTATAAGTGAAAAATAGTAGCTGAACTCTTGTGTTTTTCAGATCACTATATCAACACGATCAAGTCTTTGAATGCCCGACTGAATAGCGAAGAGCTGGCATTATGAATGTTTGCTATTGAGCATTTACATTATGGTATGGATAAGAGAAAGATCTAAGATCAATAGAAAAAGAAAAGCTTTAACAACGCATGAACTGCACAAAGAGAACTGCCTCACTGGGACTTTTCAAATACTTTTTTTTGGGGGTTTTTTTTTTTACTTTGATGACAAAATACATCAGTTAATTAACACCCCCCCCCACTTAGCTCTTTCAGCTAAGAAAAAAAAAAGCATTCTATTTAAGTGCTTTTAATTTGCTTCCTAAATTTTCTTTTTGTGCTCACCTGAAAGCTTTTTTTCTTCATCCTCCATTTGATAAGCACATTTTTCCATAAGAGAACTTTAGTTTGCTGGTACATGCTCTTCTTTCTCTGAAGTGTCTGCATTTTTTACTCTAGATAGAAAAGCAAAAGCAGGAATCTTCTAAAAAAACAAAGCAGAAAAAGAATATATATAGTTTTGCGTGTGCAGTCGTTTCATCTGGGAATATCACGGCACTTTGAAAAGGTAGCTATTACTCCCATTTTAGTGAGGGAGAAAGAATTGAAATTGCTTGCCACTATTCCTTCATGCAAAGAAGTCGGTGGTGGCAGAGAAATCAAATTCAGATGTCCCAACTCCTCAGGTCATGCCTTAACTCTAGGACCATCTCTGCAGCATAGCTTTTATAAGCAAAAGGCAATGACTTTTGGGATTCCCAGCACTGCACACAAGGCTTCTGGTTCTGCATTTAGACGGTGACTAACCAAATCCCATGGTTTAGGGGCTTCACTGATCACTTGGAGGAGTCAGGAAGTATGTTTTTTACCCTAGTGCATAATTTGTTCTTTAGATACTTTGTTCACCTTCTTCTGAAGCACTTCTGGCAATGCTTGTGTCCAGATGTTGCTGACTAAACCAGTGGAGAATACCCGAACACGATGTTAAATACTGTACGTAACATGACCCCCCACTCCTTTCTGTGTTTTTGCATGTTTAACATGAACAAGTGCAATGGATTCAGATTTCTATTTATTCTACTAATACTAAAAAAAATCCTTTTCACTCTTGGCTCTTTGGTTTTAACTTGGGGATGGAAACTGATAGAAAACAGCGCACGCTATTTCAGAGAAAGAAAATAAAAACATGCTTTATGCTTTCATAGACTGTTTCTATAGTATTATATTCTGGATTAGCAAAAAAGTAAATGTGACGTAACAATTCATTACAATTTTAGTTGCATTATTATTGTTATTGCAGTGAACGTCTGTCTACTAGGCAGGCTAGAAAGATCTGCTACATTAACTGAAAGAGCAGATTCTCCATCAAGATCAGCTGAGGCAGCTGTAAATGGCTTCAGTCATCTAATAACGGAGGGCACTGCTACTAATGTTGTGTACAATTGAAGCAATTCATCAGCAGAGATTACAAAAAACTTGGTTATGAAAAAGAATTGCACATGGTGAGCCTCCTTCCTCCATTAGAAAAACCTCAAAGACAGAACAACTGCCTTCTCTCTAAGAATGCAGAACTTTACCTTTTATCTTTATGGTGAAGGCTTTTTTTTTTTTTTACTGAAAAAATATCAGGGAGGGACCCAGGCTATTCAGAAGTACATTTTAGACATCGCATCCATTCACAGGTCACAGACAAACCACAACTCTGCCCCAAGAAAAAGAGCAAAAGTAAAAATTAATACCCAGAAAGAAGACAACAAAAATAGTCATGAAGAGTTATATAAGAGTTATATAAACATTCACTTCTTTGCAGATTTACAAATGTGCTTGGAAAAGACAAACTGTGTGTTGTGTTGCCTGTGCATGGGCAAAAGCACAGCAGGCAAATGCATACCAAAAATAACTTCACATTGTCTTCCAGTCCAGACACACAAATAAGAGCTGGACAACTGGTTCAAACTGAGTGAGGAATGTCACCATCACTCTCCTAATGTTTCTCTTATTTATAGATACCGAACTGACTAAACCCAAAGCTGCAACAATAAGTATGGACAGTTCTTTCCAGCATAGCTTGTACTGCACAGAGTGGCACAGCTTTACTTTTCAAGTTATTAGTTATTGGATGTTTTCATATTTGATTAAGACAATGCAGTAGAAAAAGAGAACTCCTACCTTAAAGCCAACAATTTAAGAGGAATCAGGAATATTTGCCTTCTAATAGCAGTAAAAGCAATGCAGAAAAAAGCAGTTTTCCTGGGATATATTTTGAAATCAAAGCAATGGCTCTTCGTGCTTTTCTGTGAAGAGGCATTTTCCCCCTACTATTAGCAGTTACAAACCTCACGTGACCGCTTTGTGTTTCATTGGCTTCCCCTCTCCTACCCCCCGAGAGCCTTCCTCCTTGGCAGCTCTTTGCATTTCTCCCTTTATATAAAGATGAGAGAACACATTTCTGCTGACGTGCCTGATGGAGGTCTCTCTCAAAAGTTAGCTGGGAAACACTTGACATTTCTTATGCATAAAGGGGAGAGTGGGAGGCAAGAAAAGAATTCCCCAAATGTGTTTTTTAAAATCGATTACTGCCCTGTATGCAAGCCAGACCTAACTTCAAAAGGACTGCAACATGTCAGTGTGGGGAAACAGGGGAGCCATGTCCAGCCTGGTTTTTATCTGTAGGACAGCTTTGTTTGCAATTACTATTTTAGAAAATGCTTCTGAAACAGTAACTGCAGCAGATGGGAAATTTCCTTTGCTTCTTACCATACAAAGCACAACAAACAGTAGTTTGATTTTCTCGTCATGGTACGTTAAACATAGAGGTTTTTTCTAATTCCAGCTGGACAGCAACAGTTAAACTACCGAGCTAGGGATGCTCACATTGGTTCCCAACTAAGCTCTTGAGGCTGGTGGTAGCAATACAGACCGAACAGCAGAGAGTAGTGTGAAGATTAAACTGCATTAAAAGACAGAAGAATTATGACTGCTAGGGAAGGGGGCAAAGGGTGAGGAGTTGGAGTCATGCCCTTGCCCCAGGTGAATATGGTCATGCTTCATTAAAAAGATGAAGTTATAAAAATGACTTCTTGCCTAAGCTAAGACCCAGACTATAGGACCCAAGGCTTCCAGGTCTTCAACAGAGACACTCAAAATCTTGGGGTTATGACTCTGAAAGAATCGAAACAGCAAGACGGTCTTGAAGTCATAGACCCCAGGAGGCACAGTGCCCCAGAAACCTCACAGGTGATCTGGGTACAAGCAGACAACTTTCTGAGTTAACTCCTGTGTTTGATTCGACTCCTACTGAAAGCAATCAGGATACATGCCTGCATTGACTTATGTGCAGAAGTGCTGCATACACATCACCAAAGGCATGGATGTCACAGATAATGGAACTGAGTTTGCAGGATTGTTTGTCATGTGCCAGGAGGCATCAGCCTGGGAGAAAATAGCTTGACATTCAGAAAATGGGTTGAGAGTTTGCCAGGATGGCAAGCAAGGGGAAAACCTCCCTTATGCTCCTGAATTAGATGGCATACATTCAGACATCATGGAGATTCTGGTGGTCTAAGAAAAGCATCTGGTGTTTCATCCTGTTACATCCAGTATCATTATTTTGGGCCTTGTACCAGATGTTAATGCCAAGATTAGGACACGATTACTCATAAATAGGGATCCTGGTTTTCTCTGATAAAAAAAATCCCCAATCTTTTGGAGGAAAAAATTAACTCAAATTGCACATTTTTTCATGATCAAAATGAAACACATTAGGGTGTTTCATTTTGATTGCAGATCCCTGCTTATAAAACAATAATACATTTATTCAGCCTTTAGCTGTTACAAGTCTATTACTGGAGTTAGTCAAGAGCAATACAACATGTTCACCACCCCAATATATAATGAACATAACATCACTGGATGGCCGGGCCAGGTCACGTATGGGGTTCCCGACTCCTTTGCCCCAGTTCTGAATCTTGAATCAGTGACCGGCTCTTTCAGGGGCAGGTTGCGAAGGGTACGCTCTCTCGTCTCTCTTGATATACCAGATAGCTTGCAATTCTCATTACATAAAATTAGTGTAAGCCTTCACCTTACTGCATATTAATAATCTTGCTTCTGTCTGCCAAATAGGAAACAGTATTTTTCCATCTGCTCCTTTTCACTGGGTGCATGTTTTGACCACAGTTCCAGCTAAGCACGCAGCTTAAGCTAAGCACAAAGGCCAAACCCCAGGCCTGAAGGGCCCCAGCAATCGTGTGAAGGATGTAATACTACCAAGTACAGCAAGCAAAGAAAAAGTAGTGTCAGGATCCACTCCTGGATAATAGAGGAAAAGGAAATGAGAAGAGAACATAGTATAACTATCTGAAAGAGAACATGATCTTTCTGATTATCATATGAGCAACAAAGATGGCTGATAATTTTGAAAGAACAAATTTCCACCTCATCAATGCTCATATCTCTTAACAGGTTTGCAATGCAGTATATTTTGTTGTAATGTTTAAGGTCATGTTGTCTTACATATCACACCCAAATAAGACACCTACTTGTATTTGGAAGGCAGAATGGAGCAAAAAAAAGATTTGTCCCAGAGTCATGGCTGATTATGTGACATAAAGTAAGTCCTTTTGGGAACACAGGATGTCCTGGGAACTTCTGGCTGCCTCACCCAGATTGCCTTGTGGGATGACACACTTTCTGGACACTTTATGTTTCTAGGAGGACATACCCTGTGCCACACAAGGTTAGGCTTCAGACCCTTGCAAGGGGGCAATAACAATTCTGTTACATCTTTATTGTAAATAGTTCTTTACAGGAACTTGTATAAAGAAAGGACTGTTTCTGCACCACAAGTCTCATCAAGACACAGACTGCATGCAAGAGCTCCCTTGCTGTTTCAGGCACAAGCTATAGTGCTCAGCCAACAGCCATGGCTGTGAGGTGGTTAGCGCAGGATCATGCCCCTTCTTGATGAGCCATAGACAAATGGAAGCTGTCTTGGCAGCTTACTGGTGTCTCCAGGCTTTCTTCTACTCCAGCAAAGAAGAATCAGCTTCCCTACTTAAGACGCACAGCCCAATTTTGGGAGGCTGCTTTTAGGGAGAAAGGTGTGCACGGTAACTATAGTACTGCTGGAACCTTGGATGCTTGCTTTTTGCGATAGATAGATATATATTCATATGGCAAAGTCAAGTCTAAAATCCAGAGGTTTGAGAATAAAAATAACAAACTTAAAAAATGTAAACAGTGACCTTGTTCATAATCATTATTCAGTTTTGTGGTTCATATTCCTTGAGGATAAAAACTGTAAGGCCGTTCCTCTGGAAAACTGCACGGACTGAAATCAGGAAGTTGTTTCACGTGACCAAATGCAAGATAATATTTGTTTTCGCTTCAGTACTTTTGCACTTCTGTGCAACAGCAGTTGGCAATGTTTTTGGCCAACCGGACAGAGTAAACCAGCCTGGGTCCGAGGTGGGCCAGAACTAGGGAAGAGAGCCAGTGTACTGTCAATTGACTCTTTCTCTGCAAATGGATAATCTGGACCAATATTTGGATATTCTCTAATCAGATCCCATAAAGTGGCATGCATAGAAATATTGGCCTATAGCATATTTATATTAAAATACAGTTTTCCATTTATTTTTGTATTCAGCCAGTAAAAACCTGTTTTTTTATTGCTGAGCCATTGTTGCCCTTAGAAATGACTTCACGTTCAAGTGTGCTGAGTCTCACTGATTTCTAAGACCCACCGTCCAGCTGAGGATTACAGAGGACATCCCCCCCGCCCCAACTTGCCAACCCTCACACTCAACCTGTCCTGTGAATATTGAGTTTCTGTCTTTCAGGCTGATGCCTCTTAGCCAATGACAAAATCTTTACAAACTTTACATACTAGCCATCTAAGAGGCTTACACTAATATAGCCATACTGGTTGTATAAGTTCACAGTAAAGTAGTGCTGGAAGGGACCTCGTGAGGTCATTAGCAAGAACTTCCCTGACTAAACCATCCCAGCCAAGGGGCTGCCTAACCTGCTCTTAAATTTCCATGGATGGAAATCCCACAGCTTCTCTAGGTCGCCTGTTGCAATGCTTGACCAACCTCATCACCAAAAAGTTTCATAATTTCCCCTGCTGCAGCTTGAGGCCATCGCTCCTTGTTCGGTCTCTTATGACCACAGAGAAAAGCCAGTCTCCACCCTCTTTATAACCGCCCTACAGGTATTTGAAGTCTCATATCAAATTCCAACCCCCCCTGCTCTCCAGTCTTCTCTTCTCCAAACTAAATAACACTAGTTCAGCTTTTCTTCATAAGTCATGCTTCATGGACCTCTAATCATTTTTGTCACTCTCCGCTGGAATTTTCCAATCTGTTCATATCCTTCTTGAAGTGTGGGGCCCAGATGAGGTCTCACCAGTGCCAAGTCGAGTGGCATGATGTATGATACAATAGTCTGGGGATAATCCTATTGACAAAAATGTCTGTTACCTCTCTCAGCTTGTTATCCACAAAATTCATAAGCGTAACAGTTTGGTCTTGGCAAACTGACTTTATAATAATAAGGTTCAGCTATTGCAGATAGAAAGAGAGATCTATGAATCCTAGAGTCTTCCTTTCCCCTACTTCATAAAGATAGGTACCGTATTGCTCCTCTCTAGTTGTTTGGGACCTCCTTTGTGCTCTATCAATTCTCAAATGCAGTTGCTAATGATACAGATGCTTCTTTGACTAGTTACTTAAGTGCCCCAGGGTCAAATCGAGCACAACATATAGGTTGCACAGTTTGCATACTACTTCTAAAAATGGAGGGCAGTTTCTCAAGTGCGAGTACACTGGAGTTGTTCCATTGACAGAGCTCCACTAATTAACAATTCAGGCTCAGAGTCACATTTGGATGGTGGAGATTGGGAATGTTTTTAAATAAGGCCCTAAAAAGGTCTTCCTTTTCTGTTCTTGGTTTCATTCAACGGATGATTCCAAACCCATATCCTCTTCAGAGCCCACCTGTAAGTTTGCTGACTTGTTCTTCATTTGCTACTTAGGATATTCAAAGCTATTTATCTTAAGAATATCCACATATTTAACCTATTAAAGACAAACTTCCATGAAAAGAGAACATACATTTGGGAAAGATATTTTCTCTCCCAAAAATATAAAAGCTGCAGCGCTACAGGCCAGACATCTTGCTACTGACATGATCGCATTCAACTGATAGAAAATATGCATGCTGTCAAATTATGAAGATTAAAAATACTGATTAAATCATAAATGAAAGAAATTAATATTTTTATGGCTCTTCCTGATTAAGATGTTTCCAATCATAATTTCCATCCAAAGCCAGATTGAAGTTGTCCTTCTCTTGCTCTCGGGAAAGGTCCAAGAACACCTGAAACAGACAACGAGAAGGTTCTCGTAATTTTCCCAGCACAGGACTAAAGACTTAGGAACATTAGGGACAGGAGAGAAAAAAAATGGGCTCAAATGACCCCAGCCAGGTAAACGCCAAGCCTCCTCTTAAAGACCCCCGGGGTAGGAGCCAGCACCACTTCCCTTGGAAGTTGGTTCCAGATCCTAGCCGCCCTGACAGTGAAGTAGCGCCTCCTGAATCTGCTCTCTAACAACTTACGGCCGTTATTCCTTGTTACTCCGGGGGGTGCTCGGGGGAACAGGGTCTCTCCCAAACCCCGATGGTCCCCCCTAGTAAGTTTATAGATGGCCACCAGGTTCCCCCTTGGCCTTCTCTTGTGGAGGCTGAACAGGTTCAGGTCTTGTAGCCTTTCCTCGTAGGGTCTGCCCTGCTGTCCCCTTACCATGCAGGTGGCCCTCCTCTGGACCCTCTCCATGCTGTTCACATCCCTCCTGAAGTGCGGCGCCCAGAACTGGATGCAGTACTCCAACTGCAGCGTGACCAGTGCCGCATAGAGGGGGAGGATCATCTCCTTGGCCCTGCTTGTGATGCATCTGTGGATGTACGACAAGGTACAGTTGGCCTTCCTGACTGTGTCCTCGCATTGGCGGCTCATGTTCATCTTGGAGTCAATAATGACTCCAAGATCTCTTTCTGCCACCGTGCTTTTGAGAAGGGAGTTCCCCAGCCTGTAGGTATGCTGCTGGTTCCTACTGCCCAAGTGCAGCACCCTGCACTTGTCAGTATTGAATCCCATCCTATTTTCATTTGCTCACCCCTGTAACCTGTCCAGGTCCCGCTGTAATCTGTCCTTCCCTTCTAGCGTGCCCACCTCACCCCAAGAGAAGGGATTGCATACTGAAGAGAAAGGAGCAGTATGCAACCCCAACACACAGGGAGATCTGAACTGCCCTTTGTCTATGCAATACAATTCAGAATCTGGATTGAAACTTTGCAGTGCTTGAAGTCTTCACCTGGATCATAGCATTAAGGCTGAGGCCCCTATCTTTGCTTTCCACTTTATGAAAGGATATTAAAACATAGCACAAGTACCATAGGTAATAGAATAACAACCGTAAACATCGATAGACATGATGTACCTGCCAGGAGAGATTTGGAAGCCACATTTTTCATTATAAGCCTTGCGGTACTGTTCGCTGGTGTATAAACAACATTGGCCGATGTAGTATTAAAAGTCAGGTCATCTAATTGCCCAAGGGAAGCATAAGGTACATCTTGACAGTATGGATCAAAAGTACTTTTACCTGTGAAGTACAGCAGGAAGAGAAAAAGCAGAGACAAGATCAATTCTCGAATAGAGAGGAAAAGGGGATAAGAAGGAATATGGTACAACACTTTGAAAGAGTGCTCTCTTCCTTATTGCTTGAGCATTAGAGATGGTAGCTCCAAATTTCAGAGAAAATTTTTTCCTCAAACTTGAAACTTTTGTAAGACTGTGGATTTGTTTGGCATTATTTATTATGCATATTTTGAATTACCTTTGAATTATATTGAATATTTATGAATTCTTTCTTTTCTAAGCACTATATTTGAATAGCAAGCAATGATATAAGAACCTAAGTCGAATACTAGGAAAGTAACAAACAAAGCTCATCACTTTGAGAACAGGCCAAGCGAACTTTAACAACTGGAATCACTAATCACCTGTAAAAAGGCTTAAGAGCAGCATTTCATGTCTGAGGAAATTCATTTGAAAAATCAAGAAATACAGCAGTGTATAATGCTTTGTAGCATCCCTTTACTGAATATTCACAGCCTCACTCATCACAATGACCTTTCCTGTGCAGGCGTACCCATAGAGTCACGGTTTCTCAGTTCAAATCTTCATTGGCAAAATGAGTCGAAGGTCAGCGCTCCCCTTTTTATAAATCCCTCCAGGTATTCCAACTTCAATACATGTTGATTGGGTCGTTTATTTTTTTTTAAGCAATGGTACAATTTTCCCCAGGTTCCCTTGTGGAAGTCCAACTTACTTTAACTTCATGCAGCAACAGCTAGCAGCCTTAGTAATGAGTTCGAATCTGAGGCACAGGAATCCAAATACAAGAAGCAATACCACCAAAGGTCAAGCTGCCGGTGGCATGGTGACAGCTGATTGTCACCTGTCTGCCAAGCGGGTGGAGGGAAGGTGGCCTGGCCAACTGCTGCCGCAGGGCCAACAACTGATCAGAGTCTGCCTGGGGAAGAGGGCACTAGGGGCAGCCCCGGTTGCCTCCTACCTGGGGAGTGCACCTCTGAGGCAACCTGGTAGGTGACTGCACGTGTGCACGCCCTCATAGTGCTCTGTTTTTGAACTGCTACCAAGTATCTGTGGCATGTATGCAAGAAAGAGCTATGATTCATTAAAAAAAGCCTTAACCACAGGTGAATGTCACCTCCTACTGGGGCATAGAAAATGCTTCTAATTTTGATCTGCACATGGAAGAAATACGCTGGCTCTTTCCTTTTTTTCCCAATTTGATTTTTGCACTCACTTGCAGGCTCTGTTTTTTCATCCTCCATTTGATAAGTACATTTTTCCATAGGAGAACTTTAGTTTGCTGATACAAGCTCCTTTTTCTCCGAAGTTCCTGCATGTCTGGATTCAGAGAGAAAAAGAAAAGCGTGCACCTTCTGATAAAACAAAACTGAGAAAAGAACAATATCTGTTTTGATTTGCAGTCCTTTCATAGAAAAACCATACAGCACTTTACAAAGGAAGTATTACACCCACTTCATGGAGGAAGAAAGAATTGAAATCCCTTGGTAACATTCCTCAAAGCAGTGGGAAGTGAAGAAATCCCATTCAGACCTACATTTAGACAATGATCCTAACCAAATCTCATGCTTCAGGGCTTCAGCTGGGCACATGAAGGAGTCAGGAAAGCTTTTTTTTTTCCTTCCAGTTGCACAATGTGGCTTGTGGACAGTTTGTTCACCTTCCTCTGGAAATCACTGCATCCAGATGTTGCTGACTGGACATGTGGGGATTATCTGCATGCAATGCCAGGCACACAGCCATGACCCTGTTCTCTTTTATGCTTGTGATTTTTCAAGTTAACCATTCACAAGCACGACAGGTTCAGATTGCTCTTAATTCTACCCATGCTAACAAATGCTCTGGTCTTTTCAGTCTTTGTCCTTTTGGTGTCACTGAGGGGAAACCCTATAAAATAAGAAGGGACAAAGAAAAGTGTGCTGTATACTCCCATAGCCTGCGTCTATATTGTTGAGGATTAACAACAAAAGGAATTGCATCCAAACCCAAAGCTGTTCATCACAATTTTAATTTTGTTATTGGTGGTATGATTTATTTTTTAGATGTAGGCTTTGCTCTATCCAAAAGGCTCAGGGCTCCAGACAACTGCAGACGGCATGCTCCAAACAGCCCCTGGACTTCAACTCCCCCCAACCACATCTACCTGCCTAAACTCCAACAGAATCCAACCCTCCCGCCAACCCCAACCACGTCTCCCTACTGTCACTCGCATCCAGGGACAAGACACCTCTTCTGTCCCTCACTCTCAGGGAGATCCCCCCATGCACCCCTTGCATCCCCCCAAAGCTGCCCTGCCTCCGACACAGGGTCTGTGGCTCTTGCCCCTATTCCCCTCTGAAAGACCCCACATGAACTCCTTCCCCTCTTCCCAGAAACACTACACAGTTCAAAAGAAACCTAACACACAAGTCAAAGAAATACCCTCCATCTCCTCGTCTCCATCACCACTTCAAGGCAACACCAAAGGGTGCTTTCACCAGGTCCCTTTGATGGTGCCATGATGCGCTCTGCAGGCTGCCAGGTAGTCAACATCTTACTTAAATTGACAGGACAGTTTCTGCACCAAGATAGGTAGCAAATGTCATAGGAAAATTACTTTGGTCATCTTATTATAGAGATCACTGCTGTCCGTTTTGCTTCCATGAGAAATATTAAATGGGACATGGTAATTAATTACTAGAAACTTGGTTATAAAAAAACAAAGAGTTCCCCCTGGCAAGCCCCCTTTGTCCCATAGGAGGATCTCCAACTGTTCAGCTTGACACTTTCCATAAAAGACTTCATGAATTAAAATGCAGAAATATGAACTATCGCAGTTGTGTCCGCCATTGGCCCCACTCTGCTTTCAGGGAAAAAAAACATTTTGAAGTTCAAGGACACAGTGTAAGGCTCTGATCCCGTCCCCATCAACTTCAACAGATCATGTGAAATGGGAATTAGAATTGGGGGTGAAGGTGCTGAAGAACAATGGGAGCGTGTGGGGGACATTAGGATAACCCCATTAGACAGGTAAGGAAACAATCATCTGCAAGAGCAGGAATTTAGGAATGATAATGGAAAAAAATGGAAACATTAAGAATAATATAATATTGTCTATATATATGACACAAATAGTCACTATACCATTGATTCAATTCAAAATAGTCACCATCACTACTGAACAAAGGACAGGGGGGTTTTTTATAAACTATTTTGGGAACATTTCATTAGATCAGCCCTTCACAAGCGAGCAAACGCCGTGGGAACTCAACCTCACCTTTCAGTTTTATGACTGTACTCTAACTTAATAAATATTGAACTCCCAAGATGCACTGTATCAACTGTTGATTTTTTTCTCCCAAGTACAAGAAAACTTCTCTGGTTCATAACTCAGGTTTCTAACTATTTTTAACTCTACTCATGAGAGAAAATGTATATGAAATGCTGAAACATGCCAGGCAGTTTAACTTCAAATAAATGACATGTTTTTGGAAAACAGCTAACTCCCCAGTGCTACATTCATTGTTAGCTCCCAATGCATTTCCAGTAGGCTTGGCATATGTTGAGACCCATGCTGAGCAACAGGTGGGTGAAAATCAGCGTGGAGGATTTTTTATCTGAGTACTTTTAAAAGATTGTGATTGAAGGATTTGTTTTTGTTAAAAAGGGGGACAGAAACATCCTTTTTAACAAAAATATTTTATTTCACACACACAGAAAACGTACTGTATTTTGTAAACAGCGGGCATTTTTACATGAGCTCTGGGAGACGCAGGGGGCACTTTAATTAGCAAGCTGCGCTTATTAAAACCACCCAAGGATCACATGAGGTGTCAGCATCCCATGCACTGAAAAATGGCGGTGGGCTCAAAGCATCCTGCCACCATTTTTCGGCACGAGGATGCTGATGCATGTGACCCCAGAGTCTGCTGGAGCACGTTTATTTCCATACTGCTGGACTTCCAGCACGTTGGAGTTCACCATCCAGCGCAGGGTGTCAAGGGCCTGCAGCAAGGCAGTAGCCTTTGATTTCAGGAGGGCCGAGTTCAGCCAGTTGAGGAGATTGGTAGGAGAGGCTTTGCAGTCCCGGAGAGTAGGGAAACTAGGTGTCCAAGACGAGTGGTTGTTCCTTAAGGAGACGATCCTCCGAGCCCAAGGGGTGACAGTCCCAACGCGAGTCAAAGGGGGCAAGAGTGCTCAAAAGCCCCCTTGGCTCACCAAAGGCATTCAGGAATTCCTGAAAGCCAAAAAGGAGGCGTGCATCCAGTGGAAGAGGGCCACCCGCATGATGAGGGGGCAGCAGGGCAGACCCTATGAGGAGAGGCTATGAGACCTGAACCTCTTCAGCCGCCACAAGAAAAGGCTGAGAGGGGATCTAGTGGCCATCCATAAACTTACCAGGGGGGACCAGATGGGAATGGGTGAGACCCTGTTCCCCCAAACACCTCCCGGAGTAACAAGGAATAACGGCCACAAGTTGATTGAGAGTAGGTTCGGGGCCGCCAGGATCTGGAACCAGCTTCCAAGGGAAGTGGTGCTGGCTCCTACCTTGAGGGTATTTAAAAGGAGGCTTGATAATTACCTAGCTGGGGTCATATGAGCTTAAACTTACCAGCGGTCATATAAGCCCAGTATTCCTGCCCATGGCAGCGGGTCGGACTTGATGATCTGTTCAGGTCCCTTCCGACCCTACATCTATGAACCAATGAGTATATTTTCCTTGTAAACAGGAAGAAAATGCAAAAGCCTTTTTCCCTGGGATAAACTGTGACAGCACTGACTCCTAGTGCCTTTCTGTGAATAGCTGTTTCTTCTCTGTAGTAGTAATTCTGCCAAAAAGCTAAGCTCATGTGATCACTTTGTTTTGAATTAGCTTCTCTACTCTCTAGGAGCCTTCTTCCTTGGCACTCCTTCATGATATTCTATTTTACAGGAAGCATATTGCTGCTGAGCTGCTGAAGGGAAACCTCTCCCAAAGTTAATGGAAAACTCTTGAAGTTTTGACTTCACAAAGGGCAGTGAGGAAACAAGAAAAAATTGCCAACGTTAGTTTCCAAAATCACCCATCGTAGCCTTCAAACAGGCACTGAACCTCGCCAACCTCATCACCAGACGCAAACTTCCTACAGCCTAAAGCACACCGAATGGATCCAGACCATGTCGGGACAAGAAATGTAAAACCATTCCCAAAATAACTACATCCCACAACAGAACCATCACCATTCCTGGATCTCACACCTGCTCCTCGAGAAATGTTATATATCTTGAATGCCCAAATGGAAAAGACATAGGAGAAACTAAACAGCAACTGTGCACCTGAATGAACACACCCCGCAAATCTATCATAGACAAAAATACCTGATTAACTGCAGGTGTACGTTTCTTACAAGACAACCACTCTCTTTCCAGTCTCAAAGGGAATTTACTAAATACCTTTTGTAGACGAGCCAACGAACTTCACTTCATAAATCTACTGGATACAAAAAATCATGGATTAAATATAGACATTGGATTTATGGCATGTTATAAGCTGCCTGCCATCTAATAACTCCAGGTAACCTTGCTACATTTTACCAGCTTCATTCTACTATCAGGTCACCATTCTCCCCTTTCCCCTCCCCAACTACTTGTCTTGCATCTATTAAATCAAATCCCCTCTGATCTTCTCTGCCATACATTTGTGTTTTCACAGACCTGATCGTGCATATTGGTTTAAACTTCTGTTCCACCCAGGAGAGCATATAAACACCAGCAGACTCTCCCTATGCCAGAAGAAGTGTGTTTGTTCTTTACAAGCTTTCAGGCACAATGTTTCTAACTATTTTTTGATCTAATAAAAGATACCACATTTACCCAAAGAACCTTGTCTGCCTCTTATAAATTCACTTATTGGTGCAGGAGTCCTACTGACTTCAAAGGGAATGAAACACCAAGATAATGTAGGTAAACAGGAAAGCAAATGTAAGCTCCATTATCTATGCAGGTCAATAGTGTTGTTTGCAAAATATTATCTAGAAAATAGCTTCTAAATAGCAGAAGTATCCCTCACTTCTCAGTAGTTGGATATAGAGCAGGGGTCATAGGAACACTTGATTTCTAGTTCAGGACATTTTGAACAGAGAGCTTTTCTAATGTCAGCTATAGAACAGCAACCAGGTTCTTGAGGCCTATAGTAGAAACACAGCCAGGTTCAATTACATGCACAGACAGCAGAAAGTGCCGTGAAGTTTATACTGTAAGAGACGCTGGAAGAGCTTTGCTTAAGTGGGGGAAGAGAGCTGCAGTCATGCCTGTGTCGCAGGCAAATTGCAGTAAATTTACAAAGTCTTAGCAATCCTATTTTCCTGTGCAGACAGGGTCCAAGCTGTAGCAAGGACTCCCAGGACTTCTAATCTCCAGAAGCTCAGCATGGACGGATGTTGGTTGTCCAGGGGTTTCTGACTCTGGAGGAGCACAGAGCAAAGCCACGGACCCCAAGAGGGTGAGCACACTGACTGGTAGTCTGAAAGTGGCATGGGCTCGTCTGTGTGGGGTGCTCAGTAAAAGCAGCGGGGCGAGGTCTACAATGAAGTCGGGTGGTCTTGAGACTCTGGCTGCAAAGAACAGAGCTGGGGCAAGATGCTGCCATGAGAGGAGGTGTTGCCAAATGAAAGGCCCTGGACCCTTGCTCACCACTGGTGTTGCAAAACTGTAACCAAAGGCCAAATGAGATAAAGGGGATGGCCAGGTGTTGCAGATGACAAACATGAACTTTCAGGACTTTCTTCATTTAAAGCATCAGACTGCAAGCAAGCAGCTCAACATTCACACAGCGGGCTAAGTGTGAGGGCTGGCAAGTTGGGGTGTCAGGCCTAGGTATGGTGTGGCTTTTCTCCTTTGTGGAGGCCTGGGCTATCAGCACATATAAGCCCACCTGAGAACGAGTGTGGGAAAGACCACGAAGGAGAGAGACTGGGTTTTGTATTGAGAAAGTACCTCGTGTATAAAATGCCTGAGATTAGCTCCTGAGAGCTGGGAGTTGGTAATAGGATCTTTGGCATCTATGGACCAGGTCTCCAGCCAAAATCCTGCAGGTGGTAGGGTGGAAGCGACCACACACAGCGCTGCCCTTAGCCTAGCAGCGAGAGGCTGTTGGAGATGGACGGCCTGGGAGAGCCAACAGCTCATCCTGATTGTAGTTATTGCTGTTGGTATTGTTGCTTTGCTGCTGTCCCTTTTAATAAATATCCCTTTCCCCCACTGCTGTGGGGAAGTGGGTTTTATTTAGGGATTTTACCTACTATTATTAGGGTCTGATAGATGGCCCACACCCATGTCTGCCCCAATCATATATTTAATTGCTGATTAGCCTTTTGGTCAGCAGATTGGTAACCCAGGTAGGACCCAATTCACATAATTTAACTAGCCACTCAACAGGGGGAATGACATCCCTTGCACCCCTAATCTGGAAGGTGGGCCTTAGACATCAGAGAGATGTGACACACTTGAAAAACCAGTCATTCAAAGAGAAGTGATAGTTTGAAGAACGGCAGGTGGCTTTTATTGGCAGAGTACAGTAACAGAGTGAAAACTGTATTTGAATGTAAGGATGCTTTTAAGCCAAATAATTTTATTTGTGTCACTTCACAGGAACTGAGCAGAGAAGATCAAAATATTGGTCCACATTCTCTAATGTGATTAGAAGATGAAGAGGAAAACGTGTGTTGGGACTCTCTTCCCTGATTTTCACTCACCAGTACATTACCATAGTCTGGAGATAATCTAGATTACCTGTTCACAAAAATGACTAGTGCCTTTCCTAACTTTGTCATCCACAAAATTCATAAACATGAGATTGGACATGGCAAATTAACTTTTCAAGTGTTGTAGTAAGACAGACTGATCACTCTCCTGGAGTCTTCCATTCCCTTGCTTTCCAAAGACAGACTCTGTGTTGCCCTTTTTCAAGTAACCTGGGACCTCTCTCATACAAAAAGGTAATTGCTAATGATTCAAAGACTCGTTTGACTGGTTCCTTACGTGCTCCTGGGCAATGTCAAGCATGATATATGTGCTGCACAGCTCACATGGAGGGCAGTTTCTCAGATGGCATACACTGGAGTTGCTCGATTGACAAAACTCTACTGATTTTTGTGACCTGAACAGCAGCCTCAGGCAGATGGTAGAATCTGAGGATATATTTAAATGAGACCACAGTAAGGACTCAGGATATATTCCATTCAAGGAAACCACTCCAAACCTGCATTCTCTTTGAAGCCCATTGGTAAACTTGGGGATTTGCGTGTTAATACCTTGAGGGCTCTTCCCACTGAAGTTGTTTGAATTCATGTTTTCATCCAACTCCAGATCAAAGTCGTGTTTCTCTTGCTCCAGGGAGAGCTCCAAGAACACCTGGAACAACCAACAGGAAGGTTCTCGTTATTTCCCAGCACCATAATAAATATACAAAGCATTTCTTGTTTTGTTTGTAAAGGCAATTGCTAGGCTTTCACTTGTCCCAAAGATTAATCTCATTTGCAACAGCTTTGTGTTAGGACTATGCAAAGCTTTGGTCCCTGATTCAATTTGGCAGAGATTTGACAAGATTTGGTGGCTGAATCTCCGAAGCAAATCAGAAGATCCTTTAATCTCTCCGAATCAAATCAGAACCCTCCAAATTGATTCAGAGAGATTTGGACAGATCCGGAGATTCGGATGTAGACACAGCTTTAAATGTTTTTTCTACATACCTCTAGGTAGCAGGGACTCTGAACGCTGCGGTGCTGGGGCAGATGCAGCATCCCACAGAAGCACAGAGGCCAGTTTGAAGCGCGCTCAGCTTGAAGTGCTTCTGGTTCACTTCTGGGTTCACTGCTGAGCATGCTGGAGAGCCCCACCACGCTCCTATGGGACACTTCATGCACTGCAGCATCACAGCGATCACAAGCCACGTTGGTACCTCAAGGTATGTAGAAAAAACTTTTAAAGCTGTACCTGTGTCCGAATGGCTGATTCACTGAATCAGCATTGAATCTTCAGATTTGGATTCGGCCAAATCGAATCAGGGACGGTGATCCAAATCAACGAATCGAATCACTGTTCCTGATTTGGGCCGAATCCAAATCTAATAGGACCCGTTTTGCACAGCCCTACTTTGTGTTGATCTCAGTGTAGTACACCTTGGAGGAGAAACCACCCACTGGTCTGTAAATCTGCTACAGCAAAGGTTTGGAGGAACACTTGGGGGGAAGACTTTATCCATTTTTGAGCTCTGCAGTTTCTAGATGTGCAGAGCTCTAATAGACAATATGCCTTTGCTGAAAGGTATTTGAGGGAGGGGCAGAGCCTGCATTTTTTGTGCTGTAGCTGGGGCAGTCTGCAGTTGTTCTCTCTACTCAGAGCACCACCTTTTACTGCCCCCCTTCAATTAGCTCTGTTAGAGTTTCTGGACCCAGGTGCTATCACTTAGTGATTAAAATACCAAACAACACAGTCATAATCCTCCCTAGATCTTTGTAGATTACCTCTGTAAAGTGGGAATTGATCTCTGGCTCTTCCCAGGGGTTGTTCCCCTGAGACTGTAACTTAACACTTTTGGGAGTAATTTTTGCTGGGGTGCAAGCTTTCATTCCCAGTCTTCTGGTCATGTGTGGTTTATTGAAATAAAGGTGAAAATATATGTTACATTTAGACCATACTACATGCACTTAAAATATGAGTATCCATGCATTAAAGCACATTAACTCACGCTAAGTCCCTCTGAGTATCTCAAAGTTGCACCACTTTAGACCAGCACACACTCTCAGCTGTGCTACCTGGATCATGTTAGGGTAACTTGAGTCTGCTCCATGGAGTTAAAACAAGTATTTTTCAGCTCTCCAGCATCCCAAGATGCATCATTCCCATCCCCATCCCTCCCATCCCCATCCCTGTCTCTGTCACCTCACCTTCCAAGCAGGTATAGAAACCAGGTGTCCTGGTTTCCAACAGCAATCAGGTGTGCAGACAAGAAGCAGTTTTAATCCTTAATGAGCGACTGCTCACAGCATGTTCTAACTTTAACATTCTGCAGTTTTAATATGGTTTAAATATAACACATAACTTCACCCAGTTTCCATGATCTGGTTGGACTGACAGGAAGTGAAACACTGATACATTAAATACGTTAGCTGATCATAATGTGTGGGATGTGCAGGCTATAAGTCTGAGCCCAAATATTATTTTGTTCTAACTCAATTTATGATTTGGGATGAGTCATTGAATTTTCTACCCAACAGTTACTTTGGAGTCTACCTCACTCCTCCACCCATCACATCTCACCTACCTGTCCAGTGCTCAGCGTGGTCTCTCCAGTGATCATATGTATAGCTGTGCTTTTACCAGCTCCATTGAGCCCCACCAGTCCTAATGCCTCTCCTGGAATAAAGTAGGTTTCTCATCCTTCGTTCCATATGTTTTTTAAACATTGTTGAGCCTAAAGGAAGCATTAGAAAGTTGCAGTTACAATTAGATCTCAGCAAGCTAATTTCCTTGGGTCCCTTTATTAATACTTAAGGTCTCTTTTGTACCTTGGCCAGTCATTCGCAACAGGAGAATTAAAATGCTGTCATTCTGGGTTGGTAGGATTGGTAGGAAACAGGTACATTTTAGAAAGATGAAAGTTGTTAAAGTGCTGTTATAGGTACATAATAAGAACAAAAAATGTATTACAAACCTCTCTATAGGGCTGATGAACTGCAGCAGAATGTAAATACTGTCCGTTAGAAAGAAAGGCTCTGAGCTTGCAAGTTCCACATTTCTAGCATGACAGTCCAGCATTGCTTGTTGAGTCACTGATTTTTAGATGTTGATGTATCTGTTTAATGTGATGGATTTGAAAAGCAGGAAATCTTAAGGGAAAAGTTTTGAGAGGAATTGAGAATTTTTTCCCCTTCTAATATCAGGGGAAAACAACCCCAAAATATGTAGTTTGCCGGGAATATATTTACAGACACAGTGATGACTCCAAGTGCTGCTTTGTGCGCAGGTCTCTCCCCCTCCTTTTTGTGCATTTGCCAAAAAGCATCGCATTACATGACCGCTCTGCTTCTTATTGGCCGAACCCCGAGAGCCTTTCTTCTTGGCAGTCCTCCACAACTCTTTATCTCATATAACGCTAATACAGAGCATGTTGTTGTTGAGCTTCCAGGAAACTCTTGGGACACTGAGTGTAAAACAGGAGAGAGAAGAGGCGGAGGATAAAGAAAATCCCAAGATGTCTTTTCTAAACTTGATTATGCTTCTGGATGCATTAAGCAGCACTTACTTCTGGAGGACAACAATTTTGTTGGCAAAGTATTGTACAGACAAAAGCTTTTAACTGATTTCTTGTACGATAACCCCAGACCGGAAAACTCCCTCCCTTCTTCCCATCTGGACATAAAGCAAAGGAAAACAGCAAGTTGATTTCCTGAATGCCACAGTTTAAATGCATTTCCCAGCTTGATCTGTAAGCTGCACCATATAGGACGTCCCCACCTTTTTCACAAGTCAGGGCAAGTTTCCCTGGCACAAGTCCTCTAGTGCAACGTTGGTTTCCAGCTAAGTTATCAGAGACACAGAAGCAGTCAAAATTATGTAGGCTAATACAGTAACTATTGCTATTGCAAAGTTAACAGTGTTGGAGGGGAGGATATGTGACAGATGGTATTAACCCAAGGGAGATGGAGTCAAGCCTTTGTCACAGATGAAAATGTAACCATGGGTCTTTCTTTGCCGGAAATAATGGGTTTTTTCCAGTATTTTTGAAATTCCACGTGTTCCAGAAAAAATCAATCACTCTGCTCTTCAGTCAGCACAGACAGGTGGGTGCAAGAAAGAGAGAAATGAAAGTAATCTTGCCCCCTGGAAACCGTCGATTGAGGAAGGAAACTGCCACTGGTTCTAAACTAAGAAACTTTCTAAAAATGCAAGGGGAACAAATAAAACCTTCTGCAAGTTTTCTTGGCGGGTAGCTCTAGAGACACAGCCATGTTTCTTTGCCATGCTGCCAAAAGTGTTTCAATAATGTGACCGTTGTCCCGACTGCTCTCTCCCTGCACCTCTTCTCCTTGCCCCACGACCTTGGGAACTTGCTGCTGAGCTCCTTCCGCTGGAAACAAGTTCGTACCCAGAAATCTCTCACAAGGATGGTACAGACAAAAGTTTCTAAGTCAAGTCTTTGCTTCTGCAGCTTTCTACATAGAGGAAAAAACATACAAATGTCAAGTCACAAGAGTCTGATCCATGAAAGCAACAGGAAAGCATGGGTCTGATCACGTGAGATGCTGAGTCCTTCCTCGGAGGTGGGAACTGCTCTCACCACACTGATTTCAGGGGTTTTTGACAAAATTCAGAACCCAGTAGGACTGGCCTCTATACAATCATACCCGAGTTGGAGGGATATAAAATCATATCCAAGTTTAGGTGGAGCTGCCTTGAAGTGCATCAACCTGAAAATACCCTCAGAAGGGAAAATATCCGTTTTAAAACTTGGTTTAGAAATTAAGACATTTTTGTCTTGAAATGTTTTGAGCCCTGAAGGTCTACAAGCTCTGGGAGTCGTGCCTCAGTCTCGACTCATGAACCAAGGAGACTATAATTAGTTTTACTTGGGAACGTTTCAAATTCAATGCTTTGATTTTTTTTCTTCACCTCGCTCCCGACGTTCCTGCAGAGCTGGGAGTGAGGTGAGCCAGCACCTATAGGGCTGCCCCAAGGAAGCCCTGAGCGAGTTCCCAAAGGCAGGTCTGCTCGGGAGCCACGGACCCCAGCACCTGCCAGGTGAGACGTCTGGAAGACTCCTGGCAGGTCCTCGTTGTGTGCGATTGGAAGTTAGCAGAAACAGGATTTTTTTCCTGCAAATATCAGGGTCTTGACAAAGCAGCATTTTCTAAAAGAAAAATATTTTGTAGAAATATTTTGTTCCAGAATTCTAGTCGGAGACGAGTTATTCCCCAAGGTGCCACTCAGTGACTTGCTGGGATTAGTTAATCTGTGACTCAGTTGAAGATCAATTCCCCAAAGTATGAGCCAGTGATTTTCTGGGTTTAGTAAATCTGCGACTCAGTTGAAAATCAATGTATATGCTTTTCTGCTCTAAAAACAGCCTCAAGAGATTTATCCACCTGCATCCCTGAGAAGCCGCACATTTGGAAATCCACACCACCATTTCAAAGGCTAACTATGGCTTCCATAAAAAAAACCCAGATTTTTATTTGCACTAGACAAAAACAAAAGAATAAAAATCATAGAACACAATTTATTCCTACACAGATGTCTTAGGCATGTATTTTTGACAGTTTGGTTAGTGGTAAATTCATAGAGGACAAAGCCTTCAGAATTAGCAGAAACAAGCACAAAAGGAAAACAGAAACTTTCTCTGGACAGGGAAGTTATTTCTCATTCAGCTCTAATGTTTATGGAGTTGGGGATATTTTTAAATGCTCCTTCAATGTGTGCTGAAGCTTTTGTAACAATTATTGTTATATTAATTTAGGAAACGTAAAGTCTTAGATGAGACTTGCTGATACTGAAGTCACTTTTCTGTTGTCACTTAGTTGTAAATTTAGTAATATGAGAAAAGTTGGCAAACAAAACCTACCTCAAGTAGCAGCCAATCCCCCATTTTTTATTCAAAACCGAAGAAGAGCCAACACACTTTAACTTCCCACATCAGATAAAAACGTTGCAGTCTAGGGAGAAAGAAATGCAAAGCAATTTATATTTCAGAGCTCACTCACCCAAGGGAAGTCTTCTTGAGCCATTAAAAAATTGAGATTCTGAAGCACATCAAACATGTGAACACTTGTTAAATACCTGATTATGAAACACGGGGCAATACACTTCAGGAAAGAGTAGTAAAATGCAACTTGTCAGTGAAGAACAATGAAAGCCTTTTATTGGCACAATTGAGGTTTTTATTGACTTGTAGAGCAAAATCTTCCAGTCTAATCCTCCAATCTTCTGAAAGCAGTAATGGAGAAAGCCAGGCCTCACTGGAATAAATGGAAATTTTATCATGGACTCAATTAAACCTTAACCTCAATTAAGGTTATAGAACAATGCTGGCATTCAGCCAAAAAGTCCTTAATTCATAACACTTTCTAGTTTCAAAATGTTTTTTGAAACACTGCCTCCTCATCTGCCTTCCCCCCGCCCCCCATGACTAGATATAAAATTTGAAACAAATATGTTAATGAGAGTTGATGCTTTTTAATCAAAGCAATAAAGTGCTTCAGGAATCATATTCACAATTTAATGACCAAATGACCTCACCTGCCCACAATGTGCAACTCCATGAAGTTATTTTATGGAGACTACAAGCTCATAAAAGGGAAGGAAGGTGCATTCATACATTACCTCTTGCTCTGCATGGGAGAATAGCTTTTCCCTTGTTGGACAGTGCACACTTTTCTCAGCTGGGAAGGTCTCCCCAGGACATCAAACTACCGTGGAAGTGGAGTGGCTCAGGCAGTGCTCTTTTTCCACATGACATAAGGGAGCAACTAATGATCTCCAGGTATTACAATCTGCTGCAAGGTCAACAATCTCATGCCGTTGGATTACTAGCTCATTAAGATCGTTGTTTGTGGTGTCTTAAGGTTTCCCTGACCAAACATGCCTGTATTTGTCGTGCCAGGTGAGGTGTCTGTAGTTTGAGCAGGTGCCCAGGCCAAGCAAGCCTCTGTTTCTTAGTGGTGCTTGTGGATGCACTGTCTTTTTTCTAATGCCTTCAGCTGTGAATTTTTCCTCCCATGACACTCCAAGAATACTGCACTGACACCTACTGTCAAACCAGTGCATTTTTAAATTGTTTTTGGGGGGATTTTTTGGAAGAGTGCAAGTTGCAGAGCATAGGCTAGCATTGAGATCCCATTGCTGTGGTTCAGATAGAGTTATGTCTTCAAACTTAAGCCATTCTGTCTCCACTTATTGTAAATGGACTCCTTTCCTGGTAACAAAATGTCTGTACTTCCTTTAATATTAGTGAGCCCACTTATTCCATTATTAGTTCTTGCAGGCTACCAACAGAGAAAAGTTTAGTACTTACTGGATTTATCATCAACCACTTTCTGCTACTTTTTCTAAGCTACTTGTCAACTCTTGCACCCTCCCAGCACTGTGTGCTAACCTGGCAATGTCTTCTGCAATTAATTTCTCTCCCCCGGCCCATGTGCAAGCATATACACAGCTTATCACATCACTGTGCAGCAAGGACGCACGATTCATTGGTTACTTTTACAATTTGTTTTCATTTAATATGATGGCTAAACGAAGAATAAGGGTGGGCCACTAGGATGACCTCTGGGCCTGATTTTGTCCAGTCCCGGAAGACTATGGTGGTGGGCAGGGAATGGCTCACATAATGACAGTACCAACGGGGGATTTTCAATTTTCTAACTCTGAACACAAAAATGCATCAGGGAAACATGCCATTTAGATCGTTTATTGCTCTCTTTCTCTTT